GAAATGTGCAAATAACCCACAGCTTCCACTCAAGCTGTGCTCTTCTTGCCGGGTTCTCATTCATCTTCCCCTTGAACAGCTCTGGGCTGTCCAGAAGTGAAATACAAGGGACTTCAGGAAGCACAAGAAATTAATTTCACGAGTGGAAACCCAGCAGGGTGAAAGGGAACACTTCTCCCCACTGTCCCAGAGCCACCTGCCCCTCTCCTCCGGGGTGATACGCCCGGATCTGATGCTGACAGATGCGGGTTCACTGTGCATGGTCCCCACAGCCAGCAGTGGCAGGACGCAGCCCAGGAAACAGCAGTGGAAGTGAGCACTGGCTCCATGCACAGGAATTGCTCAGCTCTCCTTCCCCTGCCACAGGAAACCTGGGCTGAGACGAAAACCTCTCCTTTGTCAGCAGAGGGGGATTCACGAGAGGGACCTTCCTCAGCATCGCGTTTTCACGGATGGGATGGGGAAAGGCAGGATGCAGGGAAGGAGGAGCGGGCAACTTCTGAAATGTAACCGGTGTAATGACTCAGTTCTGCAAGATGAGAGCCTCTCTCACCTTTTCCAAGCGATCCCAGCTAGAGGGGTGGGAAGAGGGCTCGCTGGCAGAGCAGCAGGTGGGTGCTCCCCCTCCCCTCCCTGCTCACCTTCCTGGCTCCTCTCCTGGCGAATTCCCGGGCCAGGTGGCGGCCGATGCCCCGGCCCCCGCCGGTGACCAGCACGTTCTCCCGGGACAGGTCTCGCAGCTTGGGCGGCAGCACCAGGCACACGGCAGCTTTCACCACCAGGTACATCATCTGCACCGGGAACAGCAGCAGGGCACCCAGCCACTTCCACATCATCCTCTTCTCCCAGGCAAAGTTCTCTTCCAAACCTCCACAAAACCAAAGAAAAGCAATGCCCTTCATGCACCCCCAGACGGGTGACAAGTCTTCAACCCCCTTCCAAAACTTGGGGGCAAGAGGTTCTTGGACTGGAAAAAATCCTTCTCTCCCCCTAAAAAAATAAATGGGGGTAGGAGTAAAGTAGTGCAGAAGACCAAGTCACTCCCCTGTTTCTTGATCGGTGTCCTCTGGGATTGTCAAAGGCAGGTAAAACAGCTTCCTTGCTTTTAACTGGATGATTATTTTTTAATTAAAAGATAGGAGAAAAAAAAAAAAAAAAAAAAAGTAGAATTAAAAGTAACCATACATCCCTCCGCTGCAAAGACCCACATAAAAATCCAGTATCCAAACGAAAGGTTTTTATATTTAGAAAAATAAAATAAAGCAGCCCATGTCTCCAAATTTCAGCCTGCAGTGCCTTCCAGGCAGCTCATTTCTATTCTTAGACTCAGGAAATTGCTTAAATAAGACAGAATTGCCAGGACCTTCTTTTTAAGAAAGGCTCTATTCAGGGTGAGGTTGTTGTTTTTGTTTTAGTATCTATAAATATCTATAGACGTTCTGTCCCGAGCCGCTTGCAAAGGTTGAGCTGGTCACTGCCTCTCTCTGCCCCCTCTCCCGGTTTTCTCCCTTGGAGTGTGTGATCACAGAGCAGGAATCACGCCGTGCACTACTTCAGCTTCAGCTCTTACTCATTTCTGCCTATTGCCGTCTCTGCCGCTCAGGGCCGCGGCGCTGGGGAGCTTTTATACCCCATTAATCCTGATTGACAGTTCAAGTGTCGGGGCGATTTCACTACTGTTCCTGGGAGTGGCTCTGCTCTGCCCTCCCCCGCCGGCCGCCTGCGCTGCGAGCGGGCTGCGCTCGGGGGCGCTGCCAGCGCGGCC